TATTAGTAATCATTCTAAAACTTTAAGATAAGGCTTCACAAAGATTCTGTGGTGATTTCTCAGGCATGCCTACTGCTTTGATCATTTCTAGGACTTCCTATCCTGGGCTTCAATGGATGTGGGGAGCCACATAGATCATATTGATGTCAATGATTGGACATGGCTCTCTTTATGTTTTAAAAATACTGCCTTGCCTGGCTGGCATGGCTCACTGGTTGATTATATATACCTATGAACCAAGAAGTCGTGGTTTGACTCCTAGTCAGGGCATACACCTGAGTTTCAAGCTCAATCTCCAGTAGGGAGCATGCAGGAGGTAGCCAGTCAATAATTCTCTATCATCATTGATATTTCTATCTCTCTCTCCCCCTTCCTCTCTGAAATCAATAAAAATATGTTTAAAAAATACTATCTAATACTCATGATGTACTGTAACATGAATTCAACAATGTCATTTTATAAACCAAGCTCTTGGGGCTTTGTCATTTTTTTAAATAAAACATTTACATAGATGTATACACCTTTCAATATTTCTCTTGTTTCACCTTCAGAAGATATTATTTTAAGGTTATTGAAAAATTCCCAGTATTAAAAATACTTGTATCTATATCCTAGGTATACTAAATGATTTATATTTTTCATTATAAAAATAATTTATGTTTGTGATATCTTTTAAAGAGTAAAAGCAAACAGACAAGTAGGGAGTAGCAATTATTAGTCTTTCTTTTACACCACCCTCTTCCCGCTCAGAAGGTTTCTTTCATAGCCTTTTACAAATTGGGTAAGTGCATGTCGGATGCCCTTTATATACAGCTTGGCATAGCTACCCATACATCAAAGATGTGCATGACTGATTCAACATATTAATTTCAATTTTGTCCGCATTCCTTTTCCCATGTACATAAAATGATATCCATATAGCTTAAAATGAAAGAGGGAAACAAAAATAAAAATCATAGTAGACAAAAGGCGACTAACCTTTTTCCACCTCATTCAGATTAGCAGCTGGCAGCGACAAAGACAGAAGAGACAAAAGACTATTTACATTGCGAAACAACAGCAGAGCACAGGAAGCCAGTGTATTTATAATGAAGGGCCCAGAGTGAGCGGGTGAGGGGAAGCAAGGCTTGGATTTCTTACCTATAGCCGACCAAGCGCACAAACAAGGGGGACATGAGGAGACAGGCAAATGCCATCACAGGCAGCCAGGGATCTGCATCTCAACCAGGTCACTTAACCAGCCTTACTTTTTAACACCGCACGTCATGGTTAGTAGGTGGGCATGGGTGGTTAGGAAAACAAAGAAATAAGGATACTACATGGAAAAATTAAAACGGTCTGAATGTTTTCTACATCTTTACATGCCAAATTGGTATGGAAGCCTTTGTGTACTGAATTGGGTTAATCCCATTAAGTGACATCTTGGGATACAGTGTGATCATCTTTAAGTGTGGTTCCATGAGAGTAGGGTTGATTAAGAAACATAGCAGAGCAGATCCAGGGCCTGACTCTCGGGAAACATGCAAAAACACATTTTCCATGTCAACCCCTATGTTCATACCAGAGTTTCAGATAGGGCGCCACGTTCTCAACGTGGCAGGGGTACCATGTTTATAATGTTCATTTTTATAAGTTTTGAGCTTGTGTGATTGCTTGAAAATGCACATTCAAGAAATGCCTTGGTTTTAGAAAGGATACAATAATTATTTTTTTAAAATTAAAAATAAAAAAGAATTTCTCAAGCTAAAATTAAAACCCTAGAGTAAATTTGAAAATTATTTGCTTAGCAATTTCTGAGTCTGACTTCCCCCCATCCTTGGTGTAGTGCCTTTAATTTAAAACAATGCTGAATTAAACTCTTCAAAAATTAACTATGCTCAATCCTTATTGTAGTGGTTTTAATTTAGAATTATATGGAATTAAACTTTTCATAAATTAACCTGCCTGAAGAATTAACCATCAACAACCATTTATTATACAACTGGAACAGATAATGGATTGCATTAAGTAGAAAATAACAGTTTTGATAACAGGGAGGAGGAAAGGAGTATAACAAGTTTTAGATCATAGAAAATCAATATTGACCCTTAAATTTATGTTGTTAATCCCTGCAGCAGAAAAAAACAGATAGTTTTTTAGTAAAACTTATAGTAAATCAATAACTATTTACTATAATGTGCTGGTCACATGGGCTTAAATACATTTAATAAACTTCCAATGGTGATTCATTTATTTTTGATATTTGTAGTCGTGTTTTATAACCTGCCCATCATATCGAGATTTCTCCATCAAATTGCTTTCAGATCTCTGAATTTTCTCCATTAGCAACAGTATGTCCAGTCTGACTCTTGCCATGGATGCCAAATGTAAAGCCTTCCCCCATAATAATTTATGAGCTCTTTCCATGAAGTTTTATTTGTTCCAACTAAAGAGTTCACGTTCCCATCTATGCCTCTGGGGCATCGAGTGAAAAATCTTCAAACAGAAAGCAACTTGTGACTTGAATGATTTTTAAACAATGACAACATTATTATATTCCCTGAGCATAGCAGGGTTTCTGTTCCCAGATCTCATGCTCATTAATCAGACTCCAAACTTACATCTAAAACAATACAGCCGCATTATACGAAAATTCCTCCCTAACTGCGGATTTGGATGAAGCAGGATATAAAACTCCGGAGCCCGATTTATATTTTCCTATAATTAAAGGCCACTATGTGCCACTAACTTCAAAATCTGCAGATGGTTGTTTGATATTTTGCAAATGAGCTCATCTCACATATGGACAGAAATGCTATAGTGAATAGATGAATTACAAAAGGGCTTCATTTAGATATTTGCTCTAATGCCAAATCGTCAAACTCTTTACTGCCCATAAGACTCAGCCCAAAAGGCAGAGTGGTAATATCTTCATGCTATTAAGTTTCTACTGAGCTCAGGATTTTTGTTTACACTTTGCCAAAATTCAGGCAAACCGATATCTATAATAGCTATGCTTAAAAAGACTCAATGAGTCTCAGGAGAACCAAATGGCTCTTGACAGATAATCTTGGCAGGTTCCCACGTGATAGCTTTATAGATGTCATATTTTGGCTAAACAGTGGTTTTGTTAAGGTTTTTTTTTTTTTATGTTTCAGAGAAATATATCTGGCACGGAGAGATGAGGCTTCATAATACTTTTCAGAGGAAGCCGCACTGAACAGTCACTTCGGGCGGAGACAACACGTGGGCAAGAGGATCAGGTACAGGAAGAGAGGTTGGACTGTGTAGGTTGAGAAGATAAAACAGACTCAAAAGAAACGGATAAAGAAGAAGGTCCAGCAGATCTTAAGCCAAAGCAGGGGAACTCCTCCAAAGCAACTCGGAAGAATCTGCCACCTTTTGTAATTGGTCATGGAAAAATAAAAAGGCACGTGAGAACCCAAACACTGCAGTGCTCTCAGGCCTGGGTTGTCAACACAAGGAGAATGTTAACCAATCCCTGGTTGCTGGGCTCTGGATCTCATTAGCTGGCCAAGGTGCCTTTGAAGTGCCCTGGTCCAATTTCTCCTAGCCAGAGTATACTGGTTTAAAAAGGCCTCAAAGTTTAAGTGAATTAAGCATTTTCTGTAATGATGATAGAACAATGGCAGCAGAAGAAAAAAGATTCTATCTAGGTAACAGATTTCAATGCAAACAGCAGGCTTCATATACAGGTCTAAAGGACCCTATGCAATACAACTCCATTCTCAGGGAAGCCCCCAGGGCTTTAGTGCATGCTGAATACACTGGCTATCCTTCACTAATTCAAAATATCAAAGAACACTCAAATTCTGCCCTCAAGGGCTGTATATATGCAATAGAGAAATTGGTGGCTATACCATGTTCAAATTTCTACTGTAGCTAAGTATATTACTTTATATGGCATTTGGTGCTTCGCTGGTATAAAAGAAAAAAAAAAATCCAACCCTGAGAAGGCAGCTTCAGAGGCACTCAAACAGATCTGGGTTGTCAAAACAACACCCCATTATTCTATCTTGCATTTTCCCATCAAGAAAGGTACTTAGTGAAATGCAAAGTTTAGGCATGCCATAAAAGCTTAAATGTCCATGCTTTCCTAATAAATCCCCGGGACAGTTAATCATATGATGTGACTTCATCTTTCATGTTGGAAGTCGTTGACCTTAGGCATTTATGTAGTTATTTCACCCTCTGATATTAACTATGCATTACATCATGTGGAAATAAATGCAACTAATGAAATGTACCCAGTGGAATGAAAATGGTAACTTCAAATAGAGTGACAGAATTTACTGCTCCATTTTTTCTTACAAATAAAATGCATAACATTCTCTAAGTGGTCTATTAAGAAAACAAGGTTATAGTTGTGATGTTTCTTCTTCATAGCCACAAAATTAAATCAAAATAAATATTCTGACATAATAGCCAAATTATAAACTTGATGTTGACTTTACAGCCTATTGGCTTATCCAGGGAAGAAGTTAAGTTTCTTGAAGTTATCATCTCAAGAAACAAAATGCCAGAAGGAAGGTGACAGTCTCATAAGATTATTCAAAGTGCTCAATATTTTTCTATTTTTATTTTTTTTAAGAACATAAGTTATTAGAGGAAAGCACTCATTATTGAAGAAGCAAGTATGGATATAATCTGAAATGCTTAATTATGTTTTGACTATATTAAAAATGCCCCTTGTTACATGTGTTGGTTAGCACAGGAAAAATGCTTTGTGGGTGATACCATCTAATTGTGAGACTAATAGGTACAATATGATAACTCCTGGGTTTGCTGGATAGCAATAACATGGTAGATAACTGTGCTTGGCGAGTCTTTTGTGTTGAATGAAACAATTATTAACTCTAGCTGTTATTTACATTACCTCTAATTTCCCAAACACCTACCCGTTATTGAATAATGCAATAATTTATTATACGCATGCAGCAAAATTCCCATGATGCATTCAGATACATGGACAGATGGCTGAACATTTGAGCATTTCCTACCTGTGTACTCAGGTGGGCAAAGGCATGTGTAGTTATTAATCCCATCCACACAAGTAGAATTATTTTCACAGTCATTATCTTCACAGTCATCAATATTGACTTCACAGTATTCTCCTTCAAATCCATCAGCACAAATACACCTGAACACCAAAGGGAGGAAAAGTAAAATAATAATAACAACTCTGTATTTAAACAAAAAACACGTGGTCTACATATTGAAAAATACTAAATACACTTATCAATTACAGAACTTTTAACCACAAAGAATTGATTTTTAATGACATGTTATAAGTATTCATTTAAGAAAATATCTTAGAAATCAAAAACAACTTTAAAAAAATGCTGGCTGGAAATGGCCCTGTAAGTCAATAAATACCATATAATTGCAGATTTAAAATACAAGCAAAGTTTAATCTATTTTAATCTCAAATTGTGCGCTAATAAAATAATCCATGCTTCTTTACTCACAAGTGACAAGGAACTGGTTCTGACTTTTTTTTTTTTAAATGGAAATACCTACTGCCCTATGTATAATGTTCTTGATATCTTAAAACAGAACAAAAAGATAATTTGAAAATCAAATTTTATCTCCCCTTCAATTATAAAATGTGAATGTTCTTTTTACATCTCAATAAATGCATTTTTTTCCCACTGGCATAAAACACTGTATGTTTCATCTTAGTAAGTATCAGAATAATCTTTGAAAAGCCTCCATGAAAAAGAGACAGTTTCATAACAGAATGCAGAAATGAAGCCTATTTATTATAAAAGTGATATTTCTAACAAGCCTTAGTGGTACATTAGCATTCTTACGTGAAATTATTAGTGTCATCATAAGAATTCTATTTCATAATTCATGAAGTACATCTGAGGTAATTGTACTGTATGATTAAATAATTCCAGATTAAAAATGTTCACAGCATGATTGTCTCTTTATATTGGAGGTTGGAAATGAATCATTAATTTTGTTTCAGTGGGACCTACATCTTTTCATTATACACTGTCTTTAAAAGAATATACACAGCAACAAATGAATATATAACTTTCAGTTAGGAGACTAGCTGATTATTAATTAGCATAATACAGCCATTCCATTATCTTGATCTAATCTAACTTGATTAATCATAATGTGAGCATGTACATGTTTTAAAATTTCTGGATTTTGTAGCTGCCTGAGCTGACAATATTGAAACATCTATATTTGTTTTTATGTTGCAATATCTAGAGGAACTCACACATTTTAATCTTGTGAATTGATTCCTGGCATTCATTTTAAAATAAAGTTCCCACGTTTGAAAGGGAGAATGCGTGTTTGCTTAGTTATTCTAGCTCCGATACTTTAGACACAGATCACAGACTAATGAATGACCTACCAGAATCCATCTTTGTCACCTTCTTTTAAGTGGCAAGTTCCTCCATGTTTACATGGGTTACTGATACATGCATGAATTGGGACATCACAGTCCTGCCCCTGGAGAAGGAATGGCCAAGCAGAGTTGGGTGTAAATAAAGTAGTTGTTAGCACAATAAAATAAGGTAGTTGACAGCACATTAAAATAAGACAGGCCCACCAATGAGAGCTATGCTTTCAAATCAGAGCTCCTATGACAGCTTCGACTCACCTTGAAACCATATGGACAGGTACAGCGATAAAAGTCAACTGGATCATTGTTACAGGTGCCATCATTTTTGCATGGATTTGATAAGCAAGGATTACATTTAGCTAATATAGTCACATCCACAGGACCTAAGAAGTATTTGAAAAAAATATGAGAAACTGGTGCTTTCTATTTTTAGGTCACTTAGGATTATTTTAATGCTTTAATGTAACAGTATATTTTGTATAAAAGTCATTGGTCATATATCTTATATGAGCCTCTTCTATGACAAAACCAGAAATCAACATCATCATATTATGTAATAATGTAATAGGAGGCCTTTTCATTGAGGGATGGTGAGATTCCCCAACATCAGAGTGAGACTCTGGGTTTTGATTTAGATGGTTAGTATCTGATGCTAATCATGCTAATTAACATGGTCAACCCCTTCACCGGCCAATGAGCTCCATGGCCACTGCCTGTATCTTAATTTCAGCCAGCTGCCATGGAAAGACATGTCACCCATCCTAAAGAGGACTGTATGTGTGTCTGTGTGTGCATGTACATTGGGAGACGTGTGGATAAGTTTTATAAGTAGAAACTCACCAGTTAAAATATAAATTTATCAATAAAATATGAAATATCATGTACCTTCCCTGATAACATTAGTTCAGTAGTATTGTTTTCATACAGGAGATATTAAAAAAATGCCATGTTTATGTACATAGAAATACACCAAACACACAATCTCCATTATATCCTCTTCTCTCATATCCATTTGGTTCACTTTGCCAGCACATAGTGTAGGCATGCGATGGGTGGAATTTCTATATCATCCTCATCCAGAAGGATTTCCCAATGAAATTATGTCTACTTGCTATCCCTCTTTTTGGAAACTATATTTAAAAAATACTCATGATCCATAAAAGGTTTGGATTCAAAGCAGATTCAGTTGCAGCCCCTTTCCTTTGATTGCACATACTTGTCCCGTAAATGGCCAACAGTGTAGAGCTTGCACTGTCCTCAATTATATGACATTCCACCAATGTTGCTTTGCACTGTTGGTGAGACCTCACTGGACAGCCTCTTGGCAACTGTCAGATGAGGACATTCTATCAAGATGACATCTTTATATACAAAACTAGAGGCCTGATGCATGAAATTCTTGCAAGGGGTTTGGCCCTTGCAACCCCAGCTTTGTCCAGAAGGTCATCCGGACAGCTGTTCTGCTGTTCTGTCTAATTAGCATATTAGCTCTTTTTGCTATAGAATATAACTATTTTAATTATGTCTCTGCTATCTCTGGTCTCTTTGAAAGGTTTTGTCCTCATTGAAACAGCAGCGACAATTGCAATCAGATGTTTGATCACATGTCCATTTAGCGAAGTTATCTGAGTGGATTGTACAGTGGATTGTACTTACTGTCACTGCTCTAACCTTCCAATGGATCTCTCCCCAGTTTTATGACTTCTGCTCATATAAAGTACCTTTCATCATATTTCTCTACCAATTAGAGTTCATGTTTGTGTTTTTAGTATTCCAACAAAACCCATGTATGAAAGAGAATATGGGCATAAAAACTGCATATCTTTTTTTTCTTTAAATATATCTTTACTGATTTCAGGGAGAGGGAGAGAAACATCAATGGTGAGAGAGAAACATTGATTGGTTGCCTCCTGCACATCTCCTACTGGGGATCGAGCCAGCAATCTGGGCATGTGCATGGACCTGGAATAGAACCATGACTTCCTGGTTCATGGGTCCATGCTCTACCACTGAGTCACATCAGTCAGGCAAAACTTCCTATCATAATGGCATTACATAATAGAAAAACTTCCTATCGTAATAGCATTCCCTCACTCTAGGAAGTTCCAGCCAAGTACATATAATGTTTTTGAAGTAAAATAAAAGACAGAATAGTTCTCTGTATTACTCATCTTTTCTATTAATAAAAAGCTTGAAATACAGAGATTCCTCTTCCTATTTAACCATTTGAAATGCATAACTGTTTTGGGGATGGTGGAGTTAACAAGAAGGGGTGTTGTTCGCTTCTTGTGACACCTAAGCCATTAAGGGAGGCCTCTCGCCAATGGCCCCTTCACATTTTCTTGGAAACCACGATAACTAATGCAGCTTCTATCAAATTGCAGCTGGGAAATTTCTGAGAGTAACACTGAAGTGGTTTTTATAGAAATTCAATTTCTCATTACCAACTTATTTATCAATTAAGGACAAGACTGTAACTATTCAGCATATTGCAAAATGAATGGTGGCAGTTACTTAAAGCAGAAAGTTAAATTAATGAAATAGCCCACAATAAATGACTTTGTATTTGCTAAAGTTATCACACTTAGAATCAGCGATAGGAAAGGAAATAGCTAACTGGTAATGGATTCCTTAGCTAGGCCAGAAGGAAAAAGAATCTAATCTTGAACAAAGGCATTGGATAAAGCAGCTAATCCTGTACCCAGCAAAATGGCAAGTCAGCAAATGCTAGGATTGGACACATTCATCTGGCCACTTCCCAAGACCTTGAAAAAAATTGTCTCTTTCTGTGCTTTCAACCTTGTAAGGTTGTGGTTGAATAGAGGAGGTGAGGATTGACAGTTCCTAAGTTTATTTTATGGAATGTGACATTCTCCAAAAATTATATTTGATTACTTAAATGAGAAACTAAAGCAAGGGAAAAAAATTGGATACATGGATACATTTTGAAGAATTCAATACAGTATGCAGATGAAAAAATTTCCAGGCTAAAATAGGCCCTGTCCAGTTTAACACAAGGTCAAGATTCACTTAATAAATACCGAATGAACAGTATCTGATTAATATGTACTATATAAGTCACTGCATTGGTTTCTGATATATCTAACCCTGCTTAGTTATTTTCTATCTGGAAATTCTTACTGGAATACAAAGGGAGATCATTGCCCCTTTGCATATGTTCGGTTTAGCTAAAGGAATAAAAATAATCAGCTTTACCACATACACAGGTCTCTTCTGGCACTTTCTTAAACCCACGAACTGTTTTGGTGACATCAAGGTGGGGAAAACAGCAAAATACCGAGTTCTAACTCCCTCAGGTTGGAAAGTTGCTACTATTTGCTTCTCCTTTTAAAAAATACTTATTTGAAAGTCAGCTCTTAATAATTTCTTATTCTAGTACTCAAGTCTGAGTAAAGGGTCATTCAAAAGCTGTTTGTAACTTACATAAATTCCAAATTGCAGCGTCCTCTGGTATGCCCAACTACCTTAATTTCCTTCTTCATTTACTCTGGAATTCCACCTCACTAAACATCCACCTTATAATGTGACTTATAGATTTACATGGTTTAACTAAATCTTATTTATATGTTCTAATCCCTTCGAACTATAGTTGACCCTTGAATGACTCAGGGGTTAAGGGCACTGAATCCAAAGCAGCTGAACATCTGCATATAAGTTTAGATCCCCCCAAAAGGTGTTTCTCAGTAACCATGGGGATTGTTCCAGAACCTCCAGTGGATGTCAAAATGTGCAGGTACTCAAGTCCCCTACATAAAATGCTGCAGGTCAATGAGCACAATCTGCCCTCAGACTCCCAAATGCAGACAAAAAGTACTACATGTATTTACTGCAAAAACAAACAAAAACAAAAAAACAACTCATGTATAAGTAGATCCATGCAGCTCAAAGTCATGTTGTTCAAGGGTCAACTATGCCTTGTATCTGGTTCTCTCCTTTCATTCACTTCCTATCCATATTTGGCTCCTTTTATAACACCATCTCTTATCTCCTATTTGTCTTCAATTTATGATTCATTTTCCACTCAGGAAACTTCCTCTGAGATCCTCTCCTGTAAAGTTCTTATTCAAAGGGAATGACATCTTTAATCTGCTTCCATAATAAGGAGATGAGATCAAAATTAAAGGAAGATGCTAAAAAAAAAGCCATAATGAAATAGTGAAGAATTTGAGTAGCTCTCCAGAAGCTAACCAACACTTGCAGGATTTTACAAATTTGATTAGTCCCAGGTGAAAAGAAGGTGTCCAAGGAACAATGAGTAGAACGGCCTTTTAGCATAATGCATAGGAATGGACAGAAAATCTCAGCTCCATCAACCCAAATTAGTAACCTAAATTTGTCTCTTCAATGTGTAAAGTTAGGAGAATGTTGGCAGCCATTTCAATGGGTGATTGTAAGCATTAAATGAGATGCTAATGAAAGTTTGAGTACACACTACAGTGAGAGCTAGGACAGAAACCACAGTGAGTTTTTCCCCAGACCTCTAAATAATTGGGTGATAGGAGGAACATGTGTGGTTTACTAAAAAGGAGACACACCATCTTCCTCTGCTTGTTTATCAAAATTTAACACAGACACTGGAAAATTAGAGCTTGGCATTTATTCCTTCATCAAAAATTCACTGAGTACCTTTTGTTTATATCAGGAGCTACTCAAATTTGGGAAAACCATAAGGGCTATATTATCAAAACTCTGGTGGAATGGAAGTGGGTGCCAAGAGATAATCATCCAGTGAGCAACAACACTCAGAGTTAATAATTTTACATTTTTAAGACTGCAAGTTTGATTTATAAATTCGGTATGGATAACCACCAGAAATAACAGTACAACACAGAAAAGAAGGAGAAGTTCTCTTTAAGGAATGACAGCGTGCTTTGCTATAGCTTCGAGATTTTCATTCTTTCCTTCTTCCCAAAGTAAACTGGTTACAAGAATTGTTAAATTATCTCCAAAACAGTAGCCCTGATAACATGTATGATAGAGGAGAAAAAAAGAATCTAGCTCCAGGGATACAGGATTTACTAATGTCACTGAAATGAAAGAGGCTAGTCTAGGCTACCTGGACTGATTTAAGACTTGGCCATGATTTAAGAGAGCCTTTGAGCATCAGCTATCTGGACTGGAGGTGTGTTTAGCTTAATAATTCAAAGGGGAATGAAAAGAAAGTTTGGTTAACAATTTGTCTCTGTCAGTTACTTTAATCTTTAATGGAAGAAGTGCCGGACTTCAAATCCATTAAAGCTTGTAGGCAGCCTTGCTTACTTGACTCAAATCACGAGCTGCACACCTGACACCAGTCCTGCCACCCACTGAGAATCGTATCTCACTTTGATTTATGGCTGAAAACCCTAGACACAAATTTCTA